TTTTTAATATTTTTTTATACAATTTTCACAAATAAAAATTTTATACGTAGAAATAAAAAAAACTTTGAATAAAATTTAGTTGTTTTTTTTAAAATCTCCTATTCAAAATTAAATTCTACACATTTTTCTCATTATACAAATTTTAAGCCAAATTTTTGATGATTCATAATAGTCATTTTTTGGTAAATTTACATGTTTTTTATAAAATTTTCATTGGTTTTTAACACCTATTCAATTTTATATTGTTAGCTTTACAAAGCAATTAAGAGCTTAGCTAAATATTTCATATTAAAAATATAGTAAATTTATTTTTTTTGTTATTTGAGCTTAACTTAATTTATATGTATAGCCTGTATTTAAAACAGTAATGCGTAGTTTCCAGTACTAGTGTTACTGAAGACTACGCATTAGGTTTTAATTAGAGTTCTCTAATCATAGAGAAAAAGTAAATTTAAGTGAAATGTAGAAGTTGTATACATACCTTGTCTTCTTCACGCAATACTAAACGTCCACCAACATCAGTAAGAAATTCACTTACATGAACTGACCGTCCTTGGCCTTTTTTACGAAGTGGTTGCTCCCCTTTTGGTATCTATAACTAACATCTTCCATCATATGCCAAGAAGATACACTCATCATGTGTTACTAAAATTACAATATCTTGAAAAGCTGGTCGAATTTCTTCTTCCATATTTTCACCAGAAAAAACTATCATATGCACTTCATATTTAGCAATTCTTTCTAAGAACCTTTTGCGATAAGCCACTATATCTGCACATTCGTGCCTATCCATATACATTCCTTTTCTGATTTTCGAATATTTAAACCCAAATGCTTCCAACCAATTTCTAGCTATTCTTATGCATATCATCGGTGATGGATCAAAACAAAGGCTCAGAAGTATTTTTTCATTTACATGGGTTGCCAGTTCATATGCATTAACACACCATTTGTTTGATCAGAAAAAGGAGCTAATCTGCATCACAATATCTTTGTCCCACAGGAAACTCCAGGTTTTTGGATATTTGCCTTGTCTTGAAATTGGAATTGCCCCATTCTGAATATAATTTGTTGCCCATGCACGTATACAACAGGCATGATAAACACCCTTCCCAGCTGCTTCTGCCACAATCATGCTCGCCTCGACCCTCTTTCGACCACGCTCTACAAGATGAAAATAAGATAACATTGTATAGAGATGAGCCTTCTCGACCTCACTATACATATCACTTTTGAACTCATTTTCCAACTGTTTGATTGTATTGTTTAAGTTTTCAAGAGACATTAAATTGCGGTCTCTAACAATCTCAACCTCAAAATCATTTTCCGAGTCACTATCTGAACCAATTGGTTCATCATTCATACTCGTACCATCAGCACCATTCATACTTGTACCATCACCATTATTTATACTCATACCATCACCATCATTTATAGTTGTATGTTCATTCACTATCTATTCAAAAAAAGGTAATTCAAATAAATATTATTCATATTATTACTGTAAAGTACAAGCTATTTGAAAAATAACTTACTGATGACCAAAATAATTCTAGCTTGGGTGTTCCAACCACAGCTTTCTGTTGTAATTGTCTTCGGTGCCTTTTTGTTCTTTTTGAGTTTCCAACATACACGAGCGGCTGATGATTAGTCACTTCTGGAACCGCTTGCAACAATCTTGTAATAACATTGTTCACTTCTTCAGT